TCGCCCCCCAAGCGGTTATGAGGGGGCTGGAAAGGGACTCAGGGGACAGGTATGGTTGTGATGTTCGGTTGTGCTGGGGTGCGGTCAAACAGCTCCTGTCCTCCAAGAAGGTTTCAGGGAAAACAAGAGGTTGGGTTCGAGCTCAGGCCGCCAAGGCGCGCTGGACTGCGAGCGACGTCGTGGCAGCAGGCTACGAGTTTAACGACCAGTGCGGGTTGTGCGGCGCGGCCCGCGACACCTTGTTCCACGGGCTGCACGCGCGCCCGTGTGTGCATGATGTTAGAGATGCGGTTTTGGGCAAACGTATTCAGAAGGAAGCGCTCGAGTCGGGTGCGTACCATATGGGCATGTGCCGGTACCTTTTTTTTCGGCCTTCAGACACCCTGGAGACTATGCCACACCGCCGCTCACCGATGGAGGTACTTGCGGGCGCCCATCCCGACCCTGCCAATCCTGCTGCTGCCCCCTCCATTCCTCCCTCCGCAGGGCTCTGGGGCACTTTTTTTATGGGCGGCTTGTGTCGCAGGCACCTTGTTCGCGAGTTATCTCGGGCTGGTTGGGCCGCGGTTATGGTCTCCAGTTCTTTTTGAGCGCCTCGGGCCCCGTGGCCTCATGCCCCTCGGGGAGCTGAGTTTGGGGCCCTTGCTTGGACCTCTGTTCAAGCCGAAGGCCCTGCCCAGTGTTATTCAGATTTTGCCTACTGAGTTCCTTTGGTGAATCTTCGGCCTGCTGGCGGTATCAGCGCGAAGCGACAATGCGCAGGTCAGATCATCCGAGCGAGACATTATTTTGGCCCCGACCTCGAGTCGATCTCCAAGGTTGACGCCCACAGGGACCCCTGCGAAGAAGGGCTCTCGGCGCGTGAAAGATTCCCGCGCCAAGGGAACTTCTATGCTGGTGCTTCTGCCAAGGAAGGGGCTGGGCAGCACCCTGATATGTCTCCTGCTGAACACGAAATTTTGAGTCATCACGTTAAAGTCTCGCGAGCGGTCTTGCTTGCGGGTGCAGAGCTTTTGCCGCTTTGGCCGAATCTACAGTTCAGAGGCATGAAGCGTTTCCCGCCGCTGTCAGTCCCTGCGGCTCCTGTTTTAGAGCTCGTTCACGACTGGCCCCAACAAGGCTCGCGCTGGCGTTGTCGCGCGTGCCTCCGAGGGTCGAGGGCGTTGTCCAAGCCTTTTGGAGGACAGTGCCATGGGCAGTCTCGTTTTGACCAGGGACAGTTTCAGAGACTGGGCCACCGTGTCATTGCCTTCCCTTGCAGTGACGGTGGTCACCTGTTCTTGTGCATGTCGTGCAGGTCCTATAGCAGTGGTGGTCAAGTCCAAGGCCAAGGCGCCAATGCGGTCCTCCGGCGGTGACGGGTGCGAAGAACAGTCGCCGTCTCCGCAAAGGCCAGCACCCTGATCAGGAGGGGGTGTCTGTTGACATTGACGACTTCATCCCACTGTTATCTTTTACAGGTAATTTGAACCTGCCCATCCAGTGCGCCTCTGGCTGATGCAGACAGGTCTCATTCATTTCAGGGGCATGCGCGTTGCTGTCAAAAAAAGAGGAGGGACTGTCATGGGTCGCAAACTGACCACCTGAGGGCCGAGCGTGCTTGGCCGTCATTCTACTCCACAGTGCACTGTGCACTGTGGAGCCGCCAATGAACAATACCTGAGTACCTGTCAGTCGATCATCTGGCGCCCAAGACAGCTAGCCCAAAGCGGGTGCGAGTCTTTTCAGGCTGTGCCTGCGCTGCATGAGCAAGCGTACGTTGAAACGTGCAAGGACCACATTCCAACCCAATGCGATTAAAGAGACAAGTGCAGTGTCCGCAAATGTTACAACCGTGCTTAAGCCCCCAGGTGGGTGGGCCAGTGCACAACTAGGCCCCCCACATCTCCTGAAGAAGAGCTGATGGCACAGAGGCACGGGCCCGATGTATTGGGCAGTTTCTGTGTACGTATACATCTGGGGGAATTGACGGGTAGCTCATTTCCACCCTCGCACCCCACAGCAGTTTAGACTCCTATGTCCTACTGTGGGCCCCTTCCGTGCCTTCTTGACCGTCCGAATGCTGGCCGGCGCGTCGCTCGCCATGGACACGTGCATCTTCTCCAGAGAGCGCGGCCTCCGATGCTTCCAGCCCATCGCACTCGCCGCCTCGCACCGCAAGCGGTCATATGAGACGCCCCCCACCCCCACACCCACCGCACACTGCATCTACCCCCCGCTGGCAAAGCCGTTCTCCAATTTTCCCGCGGACCTCCGGGCGGGGACCCAGGCGGCGCGGCCCCCCTCCTCGAGAGGAACGGCTGAGGAGAAGGGCAGACGGAGGAGGAGGAGGAGGAGGAGGAGGAGG